CTGCTTCAAGTATTCTTTTGATTGTTTTAAATTAGAAATAATACTTGGGTCTGTGGAAGGTCCACAATAAAGTCTATATTCCATATTGTGATTCTTGAACGTGAAGGGGAATGTATAAATATGTATTCTGCCATTGGGTATTGGCTAAGGAACAACAACAACAAAGCCTTAATCCCACTACATGGGGTCGACTACATGAATCCTTTTTCTCCATTACATCCTATTTAGTGTCATATTTTCATTTAGTTTTAATAAATTAAGATCATTTTTTATACAATAAGCCCAAGTCTTCCTAGGTCTACCTTTGTCTTTCTTAACATAAGTCGAATCTAAAACATCTACTCTCCCAATTGGATCATTAGATGGTTGACGCTTAATGTAACCAAATCATCTAAAACTACTTTCTCTAATTTTGTCCGTCACAGGAGCTACACCAACCCTTTCACAAATATATTCATTTCACATTTTGTCTCAAAGTGTAAAGCCACTCATCCACCTAATCATTCTCATCTCGACAACACTTAACTTACTATTATGCTTCTCTTTTAAAGGCAACATTCAACGCCATAAAACATTGCAGATGTCACCACTATCTTATAAAATTTTCCTTTTAGTCTAAGTGGTACATTTCTATCACATAAAAAGCCCGAAGCATTCCTCCACTTCAACCAATCAACTTGAATTCTACTATTAACATCTCCATCTATATCACCGTCGCTTTGAACAACAGACTCGAGATATCTAAATCGTTACACCTTTTAATAATTTGATCACCCAAAGTTACACTTCTGTCACTAGAGCTACTCCATGTATTCAGTTTTAGTTCTACTCAAATGAAGGCCTTTAGACTCCAATGTAGACCTCCATAATTCAAGTTTTTCGTTGGCTTTTTCTCTCGTCTTATCTATGAGAAGGCAAAAAGCATACACCAATCAGCAAAAAGCATACACCAAGCTACATCCTCCTGTAAATTTTCAGTAAGACTATCCGTAACTAAAGCAAAAAGATATGGGCTTAAAGCTCCCTGCTGTAATCCAACATAAATAAGAAAATATTTGGTCAATCCTCCTTCAGTTCGAACACAAGTAACAACTCTAGTATACATATCTTTAATGACTTGAATATAAGTCATATCAACAACTTTCCTCTCAATAACTCTCCGAAGGATATCCCTTGGGACCTTATTGCAAGCTTTTTCTAAATCAATAAAAATCAAATATAGATTCTCTTTATTATCTCTGATGTTCTCCATCAAAATTCTCAATAAATGTATAGCTTCCATAGTAGACCTGCCCGACATAAAGCCAAATTGATTATGAGAAATCTTTGTAATACGTCTTAACCGATGTTTAATTACCCTCTCCCATAATTTTAAAGTATGACATGTCAACTTAATTCCTCTATAATTTGCACACTCTTGTGCATCCCCTTTATTGGCTAAGGAACAAACCAAATATTTTCTAACATGCCTCTCCACGTGTCTTACCAATCCATGCCAATATAAATTCTCTTTCATTGAAAAATGAGTCTTACCCTTGACAAAATGCCTTGCTATCTCTCCATATTGACACTTCTACAAAATGTTATTTCTAAGTGAATTCCTAGTAGTGAACAATCTATTTTGATTGCACAAGTATCCATTTGATCTGTGAAACTGCTTAGATGATCTATCTTGATAACAAATCGAAATATCCTAAAAACCTCGCGAGTGGCACATGTATCTTCCAATAATTTATAGCCAATTACTTTGGAATACTTAATAATGACCAATAAGTTACCGCGGCTCAACACATCAACTATCTTGTTTTGACTTTCAATTTTGTGCGTAAGCATAGAATGTAATGAAAGAAAGAAACTCCATCTAGGAGGCATATCCATCTTTCAGCATGCCCTGATTGTTTAATAACTTCAAGACCTCATGATCAACATAAAAAGTGAACTCATTCACATACATAAAATATCTCTAGTGACCAAGTGCTTTTATTATAGCATAATTTTATGTCATAAGTGGAATATTTTCACCTCAAGTCATTCAACTTCTCTCTAAAAAAAAGTGATACGATGTCCGTCTTGACTCAACACAAGTCTAATCCCCATTTTGGAGGCATCACACTATACCTTAAACAATCAGTTGAAATCTGAAAGAGCTAAAATAGCGGCCTCAACAACTGTTACAATGTTTGAAAACTCACCTGTGCTTCATCTAACCTAATCAATCGGACTTGAGAAGCTCCATCTAAGGTGTTTCCATTAAGCTAAACTTTTTGTAAAATGAGGTTAGTTCATGGAATTGGCGCACTTGAGTGAATGATTGTTGAAAGGCCATCCCATGATAGGTTCATTCGTAATGTGATCCATTTCAATGCAAACTCTTGAACAATATTAGGGCTGTAAACGAGCCGAGCTTGAGTGAGCTCAGACTTGGTTCGTGTTCGGCTCGTTCGAAATAGCCCGTGTTCGAAATTGGCTCGTGCTCCAAATCGGCTTGTGAACAGCGTGTTCATGTTCAGCTCGAAATTGGCTCGTTAAACTTAAATTGAGAAAAATAGCTGTAAAGTGTGAGATTCGAACCCAGATCAAATATATACAAAAGAATGCACTAACCACGTTGCCACATGAGGTGTTATGATTTAAACTTAGATATGAATATATATAATATATTATTATATAAATAATATATGTAATATATTGTTATATAAATAGTTATATATATATTTTTTTCTAGCTAAAACAAGCCGAACACGAGAGAACAAAGAGTTATTTTTGTTCGACTCGGTTCCCTAAACAATATATGTAAGGAGCACATTTGCGGTTTCGAATGACCATACAACAGTTATGTCTGAAGCACTATTGCATATGTTACAAATGCTTCCCTTTTGAGTTACTGTACATCAAAATTTCTTTGAAGTCCACAACCATGAATTTCTCAATGATGGCTCAAAAAATTTATTTCATCAGTCTTATAAAAATGCTTGACGTATTGGACAGTCCAAATTGCATGGGTAGGTGTAGGGCTGTCAAAAAAGCTCGATGTTCGCGAACAGTTCGTGTTCGGTTCGTCAATGAGTTCGTGTTCGATTCGTTCGATAAGTAAACGAGACAAACACGAACAATTTTTTTTCGTTCGATTAGTTAAACGAACCAAACACGAACAGTGATGCGTTCGTTCGTGTTCGAATCGTTATTGTTTGAAATATAAAATAATATAAAATAATTATATATAAAAAATTTATTATATTTTAAAACATTAAATTTTATAAATTATAATATATAATAAAATAATAATAATAATATATTAATATACTATAGTAGTAATATACTAATATAGATATTGTATATTTATATAATATAAGTTATATAATTAATATATAATATTATTTTTATATATTAATATTAGAGATGTCAAATTGGCTCGTCGTTCGCGAACAACTCGTGTTCGGTTCGTGTTCGGCTCGTTCGTTAAGAAACGAACACGAGCTTATTTCAAATAAACTAAATTTTAAACGAACCGAACACGAACACAAGCTTTGTTCGTTCGTGTTCGGTTCGTTTACACCCCTAGGTAGGTGATCTTCCACTCATCCTCGGTTTTCATCCGAACTAATGGTAGGCACTTTGTAAAGCTAGCTCCAAGATTTTGACTGTACATCAAAATGTTGTTGAAGTCTACAATCATGAATTTCTCGATGATGGCAAAAAATTTATTTCATCAGCCTCATAAAAGTTCTCGACATATTGGACAGTCCAAAATGCATGCTTTTCAACTCATACAACTAATTTTGCACTTTGTGGGTGATCTTCCACTCATCACCGGGTTTCATTCGAATTAATGGTAGCCACTCTGTAAAGAAACTTGGAGAAGATTCTAGCTACATGCGACAAATCCAATAAATCATCCGATTTTGAAATGGAGAATCATTACTTAATGGTGATCTTGTTCACTGCCTTACTATCAATGCACATGCCTCATGATGCATCATTATTGGGCAAAATCTAGATTGGTACAATACGCGGACTAGTAGTTTCACGAACTGGTCTTCACGCTATCAAATTCTCAACGTGTTTCTACAACTCCTCATATCCTGCTGGTCGTATCCCGTAGGAATGTCATTTCGGGGGTACTGATCTTGGGATGAGATGCATTCTAAATTTCTAATAGTGGTGGTAATTCAATGGTAGTCTATAATTGGTTGTATAAGACCTGAATTGCACAAACAACTCAAGCCAAATCTTGATATAACTGCTTTTGAGGCTCCTCAATTATGAAAATTTCACAAGTTTCCCTCACTGACTAACCTCTTGCAACAAGAATCACTAACACACGAAACAATTTCTTTTTATATGATCGACAGAACAAGAACAATAAGCCATCTTTTCTCCAATCATTTCTTATTTTCCTCTTCTTCATTTTATTGTCATGGTCTATTCTCTATTTTGAGGGTTTTTTTTTTCAGTTCTTATTTCATGCAAATTAATTAAAAACTATTGGAATATGGAACAACTTAAATTTTCGTATTGATTGTGTATTTTTTTTCAATGCATATCTTGTTTCAATATCTATTGTGTCTAGTTATATGAGAGTAATTAATCCTGTTATGTCAAATTTCCGAGCCAAATGCGTTAAGTTTTGGTTAACTACCACTTAATTTGGAGCATTACATCACTCATCTCGAAGTAACTATTATTTTTTTTATGGATAAATATAGCCTTTGTTATGAGGGGCATTATCCTTGTTTTTTATATTAGGTTCCTATTTATTGTGTAGATTTGTCGGTTTGGGACCATATTATCATATGTATCACTGTAAATTTTAAATTTATTCATAAATGAATTCCTGTTTATTCAATTGATTGTTGTATCTGCAACATTATTTTTTCTTCCTGTTATTCCTATTTCAGCTTCAATTTTTATAATTTATACTTTGTATATAATTAAAATTCATCATGCTGCAAATAATATTTCTGATTGTTACTTATTAAATACATCGCTTTTGATTTCAGGAAAGTTCAGCCAGTTTGTGAATTCATTTTTGCTGCAACTGAAGAAGCAATTTATATACATGTGATTATGTCTGCAAAGTTCGTAATTCTTTTGGAAAAATAGCTTTATTTGACATTTAAAGGAGTTTTTAAGGTATTCTTAGGGTTTTTTTTTATCTCTATTTATGGTCTCTAGGCATATTCGCAACCTTTGTGATGATGACATAGAAAGAGAAAGCATTCTTCGTCAAATTTCAATAGGAAAGGGCTTCCAGGTATGCATTTTGTTTTTTCTGTCACTGTTTTTTTGTTTTTTGATGATATATTTTTGTGGCGTTCTTTGATTCTATACGGCATTTTTCTGAAACTTAGCTCTTAGACACTCCCTTCGAGTTTACATTTCCTTAGAAAGCTCTAAAAGTTTGGAATTGCTTGTCATAATATTCCCCATGACATTGTTAAACCATCCTTTTTGTCTACGTTTCTTTACGCCAATGTACTTTGTCATTGTTTTTCTGGCCGGTTTATTACATGTTTTGCTTAGTCATACAAAGTGACGATTGAAATGCCTAGTTTATTTTTCACAGTTATGATGTGTAGATCCCACTTTGGGTTTGTTGCTGCATGCACGATACTTTTAATTGGCCCTGACCTTGAGCAACAAGTCTATCAATTCTTAAAAACTCCTTTAAATGTCAAATAGACTTTAATGTTGAGTTTATTATTTCTTAGGTGAGGATCAAATCTTAAACCTTGGTATTAAATTTCAAGGCTCTTGCCAACCGGACTAGTCGGTACCTATTAGATGAAAAGTGGAGGTTTTATACTAATTATATGATGGGCCATGATTGTAGAGTTAGAAAAACATCAATATGTACTTCACAGCCGGTAATGCAAGCAATTCTATTACGGGTTTAATTCTATGTATGAATACTTCAAAGGCATAAATAGGTGTACTCAAGTCTTGTTTTTAGCATAAATTCATACTTTTAAATTTGTTAGTTTTTGTTGAGTGCCCTTTATTGTAACCGAAGTGCTAAAATTTTTTACTTCATTTGTTAAATTATGCACTTTTAATCATTTTGATCATTCTTTTATCATTTTCTTTTCATTATTAAAGATGTAAGATTACCTTAATCCTTTTCTTCTATTTGCTATATTTCTTTTTATACATATAATATTCTCATTCATTTTCCCAATTTAAATTGTATAGTGTCATGCGATTTGGTTTTGCTGTTATTTTGTTATATATCATGTTTTTTTTTTGTAGAAGCCATGAGACAATTTTTTTAATTAAGGTAAAAAGTACAAGAGGCTTGATGATGGGTCCCAATAACAACCAAAATAAGTACACTACACACTCCAAGGTCCCAAACGTCAGGTGTACAACACACTCAAAAAAAATGATCTAAAAAAGTGTAGATGTATACCCCAAAAAGATAAAACTCCAAGAGAAACCAATCCAATTGAATCTCGACAACAGAATGTACCATAATCTTATTAGGGTCAAACCACTGTGCTGGTTAGTAGTCTGTCAGTATCTCCTCCACTTCAACTTCAAGCTCAAAGCATCTCATAACCAAAAAGCCATCTCCCAGTCTACTGAGAGAAGCACAAACCAAGGCAGACAAAAAATATAGCAACATAGAAAAATCATTAATTTTAGGAACAGGGAAGAGAAATTCAGCTTGAGTAGCACATTGATAGACCCAGAGCATGGCTGCCCCCATAATTGAAATAGTACCCAAGGTAGGCAGGAAAGAGAAATATAGCAGCATAAAAAAAAAACAGCCAGGGATAGAAAACCATCTTGATAGAAAATTGACTTCCACATGGTAGAGCAGCCCCCATAAATTAATTAATGCACAGATGAAAACTACATAAGCAACATCAAATAAAATGAACAATTGTGATGGCGAAAGCAAATCAACAGCAGCAGCATCCAAACAGAAAACCAGCAGACACAAAATCGGAGAGAATAAGGTGTAAGATAACTACAGATAATTTTCATTTTCAATTTTAGTTTCAGTAGCCATCCAACCAACTCTCCTAACTGACATGAAAACAACCCCATCAATGTCAAAACTGCTACCAGATTATCAAGAAAGACATGACAACATCACCAAACAGGATCCCAAATCCAAGCAGAAAATCAGCAAACACAAATCAGAGAAAATTAAATGTGATGATACTGTAGCTATAACTATCAGGAAGCTCAACACTTCCAACTCTCCCTACAGTCATCAAACAACCCCATTGATGTCTGACATAAGTATCCTGCTCAAGTTCTGGATTCTACACCACCAAACAAGAAAAGACAGGGAATGACTGAGCAGCATGATCAATACAATATAAAAACCCCATCCCTGTATATAGCAAATAAAATAGAATATGCAACAAACTATTGGAAATAAAATCCCATCCCGATGAGGAGCGATAACTGATAACACCAAACTCCCAAAAATAAAATCATAAAACAATGAGCAATGCCCGGCCACAGCTGCTGTCAGCATTACTTCAAAAAAATCACACCAAGGTCTGATATAAGGGGCATCCAACATATCCCCAACAATCAATGTGAGCAAGTTCCCAAAAGGTTTCCTTCCCACAAGAATTTCATCATATTTAGCACCAAAACTGGCTAGCCAATTGGCTGGTTTATTTCCCTCCACGTGAATAAATTTTCAAAAAATGTTAATCTGGGAAGATACAACTATGTTCCAAGGCGCGTCCCTTATGCCTTGTAATATTTTAACCAAAACACTTGAGTCCATCTCAACTTGCACAGAGGACCAGTTGGCATGGCTAGCTAGTAAAACAATCATATACACAGACCTAACTTCAGTTTCCAGAGGATTAACAATAATACAAGGAGAAGATAAGTACAATAAACACCTATCCACCCTGCTTATCCCTAGCAATTCCACCAATGACAAGAGCATCAACATTCCAACTGCCATTAGTATTGAATTTAATCCAGTTAGCCGGTGGAGTCATCTATCTCACCAAAGTAAGGAGTTGCTGATCCCTCTTACTAACCCCATTAACATGTTGTAAACAAGATAAGTCAGAAAAAAAATAATTAAGCTTATTAATGCACAAACCAACCAGCCTATTGATATAAGCCAAAGCATTAGCACATATAACAACACTAGTAGCACACTTCTTTCCATGATTAGTATCATTTCGAGCCATCCATATAAACCAACAAATAATAAAAAGATAAATTTGTGAAAATGATTCTTCCTCCCCTCAAGATTGCAAAAATTACAAACTTCATATATGTCCCTCCAAGAAAATGTAGTATTAAGGTATAGAAATTGCCCCCTTCCTTCCACACATCTAAAGAGATAGGGCAAGAGAAAAAAAGACGACCCATCGATTCTTCCTCATTTTTACATAAAGGGCACTGAGATACTAGCCTCAAATCTTTGAGTTCAAGAATATCATCACAAGAATTTACACCATGGAAGAGTTTCCAAGCAAAGAAAGACATGGATGTAGATAATGCCCAACTTCATTTATCCTCACCCCAATCATTTTTTTGAAAATGTTGTAATGTGAAATAAAGAGTTTTGGTTATGTAACATTTAGGAACCATTTTGAGTATAGGAGTGTTTTTTAAGTAGGATCAAACGGGATAGTTGAGATATAATGAGCATTATCAACCCCAACAAGATCAATAAAAATGTTTTAAGTTCCAAACACCATTAGTCCAAACATCTGAGACAAGAAAATTTTTATGATGCACATCCTCCACAAGATCAAGGTCCTTTTGAGACCAACAATCATGTCAGAAGGAAACATGACCATCACCCAGATCCCAAAAGATGTGATTTTTAGCCCAATCTCTCACCTGCAGTAGTAATTTCCACCACCTGGAATCACCAATCCTCCAACTAACTAGAGAGGGGTTAGTTTTATAACAATATTTCCTATGCATAAATGTAGCTCAGAATGAATCACCTTTTATAAAATTAAGCCAAACCTTAAAATAATTAATATCTACAATGTGATGAAGTTATTTAAACCCCAGTACCCCAACATTCAAAGGTTTATAGACCTTTTTTCCAAAAAACCCATTTCTTACTGGAAAGACCACCAACCCAAAGGAACTTGTTGAAACACCTCTCCAAACAACCTTGTTTGCTTTTTTTAAAACTTAAAAACCTGCAAAGCATATAAAGGTAAGCTATTAAGAGTACTTTTCAGAAGAGTAATTCTTCCCCCAAATGATAAAGAATGGATCCCAGTTTTGTATCTTTTTATTACTTTTCTTGACCATCTCATCCATTCTTGAATGAGACCACATTCCTTTAAGTAAATTCACCCCCATATATTTTAAAGGAAGCTTAGAGATAGAAAAACCAGTGAAAGAAGCAGCCCACTGTGCATTCTTTTTGCTCACCTTCTTCCCAATGTAAATATGACATTTATTTTTACTAAGGTGAGCCCAAACACCATTTGGAAACTCTCCAGTAATTCATATCTTTTTTTAGCTGCATATTTGTCTGCATTATATAATAGTACAATATCATCAACATAAGCCAAATGGCTAACAACCATTTCAGACTTATGGGAAAACTGCAAGTTAAGAGATTTTAGAATTATATCATTCAACATCCTGGAAAAATAATCAAATACTAATATAAAAACTGTTGGGGATATGGGGTCTCCTTGCTCGATTCCTCTGCCCGCACTAGAAAAACCAAAGGAGCTTTCATTGAGGAGAATACTATACTTGTTGCAAGCTAGCCATCTAACCACAATATCAAAAAAATTAACTTTGAAGCCCCCATCATTCAAGATTTTAATTATGAAATCTCAAGTAATGAAATCATATGCATTTCTGATATCCAATTTAGTCTCCATATTTACTCCTCTTCACTTTTTATCAATGTCATAAAACATTTCTTGTGCCAACATCATTTTGTCAGTGAACTTCTACCTTGAATGAAAACAAATTGATCCTTTGATATTAAGATATTCAAATGAGGCTGTAACTTCTTCACAATAATTTTGTTAATAATTTTGAATATTACTGAGGTTAGCGAGATGAGTTTAAACTGCTCCCAGATGTTTTCTTATTAGTTTTGGGGAAAAGCAGAATAACAACAACAAAAACAAAAAAAGTAATTTCCAGGATTTTCTTTAAAAAAACTTTGAATAGCATTCACAACTTCCTTTTTAACTATGCTCTAGCATTTAATGTAAAAGTCCAAGGTGAAACTATCAGGGCCGTGGGCCCTATTATAGTTTATTTCAGATAACAT